GGTACATAAATGCTCTAGGACAATAGACAGCTGATTAATTTGGGTTAAAATCTGTTATATTAATTCTCTAATTAGTATTATAATAATTAATAATTTTTTTGTTCTAATCACATTTCAATGAAACTTGGTACATAGATGTTACATTGTCCAGACCTTATTAGTTTTAAACTTAAATCTGTTCATATTAGTTACCTTATTTGTATAAGCTTTTCCATCAATATCTCAAGTTCAAGTAATTTTTAATTAATTTTTAATGTGTCTCCAATACTCTCAGCACACGGGAGTTCTTTCTAAGCTTTCTTTGATTTAAAATATCATTCTGACTTGACGTACTGCCACAAAAATGTCAACACATATACAGTGCAAAGAGCATCGGTGTAATTTCTGGGTTTCTTTTCCTAATTGTTGACTCCATGATTTGTAAAATTATTGTTGTTTTCCCCCATAGAAAAGAACACTGACTGAGTGAAAAAACCTAACATTACACCTCTTCATGTATTTGTCAATTTTGTTGCATATACATTGTATGTAGTATGACAGTATGTTTGTAGATATCTAAAAAAATCTTGCTCTTCAATAATAATAATGATTGTTTGAGATGCCTATCAACCGTGTCCCATTAAATAATTTTTTTTGAAATGTTGATTGCCATTGGTTTTTCCATTCTGAGTTTAGAAAGGCATCTTTACCGGAGTCTGTAATTCAACACAATTAGCTAAGACAGGACAAACATTGACTTCTGATGTATATCCTGCACATTGTTGTGGTCTTTCTACCCCTGAGATTATCAGATATTGCCAACTCCAAATATCAAGGAGAAACACAACTATAGAAAGAAGGGGTGATAGATAACATTTGATAACATTTCAGAGTTGTACATGTGATAATGATTGATATTATATTTAACTTTATTTTCTATTCAGGTGGAATTGGCATTGGATGTGGAACAGTTGATACCACAGTTTATCCGGCGGCGTTTTATTGTTAGAAAAGAGACAATCATGCCTAACTATGTTTACGGAAATCCTGTAACAAGACTGTATTATTACTTTGCTGGATCTGGTGCCATCTCAGCGCCCTCTATTGCTAAGGCTTTGAACCCAGACAAGGTTTGTTGAAATGTTTGTGGATGCAAGACTAAACAAAATTTATACTTAACTTGTCAGTGTGAAATTAATCAGTAAATTACACAAAGATGAAAACATGTGATGTAACAATTTTATTGTTACAAGAAAGACGCATGAAATTCAAGAAACTGCTTTTTGTAACAATTATTTATGCTGTCCGTCCACACTGGTGATGAGTTTGTCTGTGCAATCGCAATAGGGATATCGCAGTACATGATACTAACACAACTGACAAGTAATTGCTTTATTTTCTCTATGTAGGAAACAGTAGATGAAATTCTGCAACAGCAAGAACAGATGTCAACCACTATCTCAAACATTCGCAATCGAATGAAAGGAATGCAGTATCAGAATGATAAGATAGAGAGTATGCTGGCTGCTATTATTGCACATAATAATGTTCCATATGAAGAAGAAGATACTCAGTGGATGTAATATTATGTGATAGAAACAATTGCTACAACGTATAGAACTAAGTTTTTAGAGAGCTGTGTATGTGTGGTTGTACTCCGATCACATGTATTGTGAGATTTCATGATAGAAGGGTTGGTTTTTATTTATATAAAACAGTTTTACTAAAATATTTCATAATACACTCTAGAAAGCATTCATACAGCTTTGCTGGAATTATGGAACTATTATGTGAAATGTTTGATAGATGGATGAATAACAAGGATTCTGCATTTCTTCAGCCCGCAGTAATTCAGAATAGAAACTAATCTTCATGATCGATGTGTAGAAAAGCAAAACAATCGTCAGTGTATGGATACACTGAAAAACAGTATAATTCCTACTATCAATCATGTCACATAAACAGTATAATTGCTACTATCAATCATGTCACATAAAGAATGTAAATTTGAATACTCAGGATTTATATATATTCTAACATTGTATACACTTGTATAACTGATCATTTTTACCTTTCAAATATTTACTAAGATCTTGTAAATAAATAATTCATATTTTATTGTTTTTTTTTTAAATTGGTGATTTTCACTCTATTTTTCTACAACTTTCAACTATAATATATGTAAGATGACCAGATATATTTGACATGTATTGCTTATAATTTGGGGCATTTCATTTCATTTCAAACTTTCAGATTATCATATTTGCTCTGTTTTTAGCACATGTGATTTTATATCTATTGAAGCTGTGCTTCTATAAGAGGGAATAGAGGAAATATATAATAGTAATAACAAATAGTGCCAATTATAATTGTATAAATCTATCATAACAATGGGTGTTGAAAAACTGTCCACCCATGACAGAGATTCGTATTATAGTAAACTTGAGACGGTCATTATAAATTAAAGTGTATAGCAACATTATAGTTAATTTAACCAGAGACTTCAAGGCTGTCGGCTTCCATCTAATAATGAAATCTCAAATAATGATGAAACAGCTCTGAAATCTACTTGTTCGATTTTGTTGCTTTCTCAGATCAAGCTTATCTAATTTTTGCTATGTGTGAATTTTTATAGAGAGGCTACTTTTTAAATAATGAAACACTACAAGTGGTCAGTTTGTTGTAAAAGTTAGACAAGTACAACTATCATCCTATCACTGCATAACATTTACCTTTTTTTTTTTTTACTTTGAATATTTACAAAATTGTTTGTATTAACATATTTATACCATGACTTATTTCAGAGTCAACTTATACTCCATTATCACATACAGTTTTCATTAAAAATAAAATACCATATGTCACAATACTATAAGAACATGACCAGGTACGATGGGCACTGACATACATAGATTTACCATGACTGCATCTAAAATAAAACACACCATTTTTGATAGTGGATTTCTAGTACCGCAACAATATTTATTTTATTGCTGGCAACTAAGTTCATTTCACACAAGACTTACCAAGCCATGTCAATTCTATCATTCTGGTTTTAACAAATCTGGAGATTTTTCCCAATTCATTCTATGACCAGTTCACGTATCATAAACTATATATCATTACTCAGATAGTGTATTTCTAGTACCGCAACAACGTTTATTTTATTGCTGGCAACTAAGTTCATTTCACACAAGACTTACCAAGCCATGTTAATTTTATATACCATTATTCTGGTCTACAACAGTAAAATTACCATGGTCAGTTCACCTGTATTTCTGTATCATAAACTATATACCAGTATCACTACTCAGACAAGTGCTGTACGATTACTTTTTTTTATTAAATAAAGTCAACAAATATATCAAACAATTTAGTTATTTTTGGTGTCTGTGGAGACAACACTATACACTCAGGATGGAGTTTATTGTGAGAGTCCTGGGAGTGATGTGATAAATGTCTGGCATATTTAATTGCAACAGTAAGTTTAATCTTCAATTAGAATGTATTACCCATGTATTGCTCAGCAGACAAGCCATTAAAAATGACACACTCCCTATTGGAAGTCTTTCAAATTCATCTCCAAAAGAATGGTGGATAGAAACAATATGAAATTGCTGAAAAGGGCAAAATCAATTGATGTGGTTAGTATGTTACTTGAACCCACAGTATATATTATGTCAGTTAAAAATATTTTATATTATAGACAAAAAAAAGTAAATCACAGGATTTCCTTGACATGTTTAATAAGAAATTTATTATTTTCAAATATTAAATTTATATAATTACAAAGTAAATGTACATGACAATTGTGGTGTAAAGTATTTGGCAGCTAAATACACATAAAGGTCAAATTTATTGCTAAGTTCATCTTGTAAATTATCAAGGTGTTCAATTCATTTTCAAATAGCTGTGTTAAAAATACAATGTACTTGAACATTTTGTATCATTTCTATTATCTAAAAATAATGTAACTGTATTGTGTTGAAACTTCAGAAAAGATACAATCTTTTTCTTAGCTTTGTGTGGTTCTAATAACGTGCACAAGGGTAGGTTGGATTTTGTTTATCAAGTATATAGAATCACGTTTTTTCGAAATCTTGTGTAAATTCACACTATTTTTTTTTCTTGTTTGGCCTAAGAAAGTTTAGGGAAGTTAAAAAATATTAGGATAGGGTTATCATAACCACAAAAACTATTTTATTTGATCTACAGAAAAATATTTATTATATGAAGAATAATTCTAGTTAAAATGAAGTCACAGTTCCTACACGTCTCAGCTTTTCTAATTAATTGGTTGTAAACTTAAGACCTAAATCAGTAACAGATTTACACAAAAAAATAATTGATTCAAATTAGGTGTGATGGTTTTTTCAGGCCTCATAAATATTTTTTTTATATTTTAGCTTTTTTTAAGGCCTCAAAAAATTACAAAACTGGATTAAGACCTTTTTCGGACAAACTGGTTCTTTGCTGATCCACGGATTATAGATAATAGAATTGTGTTATTTCTCATGTCATACATTGATATCAGCATAAGCTGATAAATAAAGAGACAATTTACAAATTAAACTCTTGTAGACTTCCCCATGTAGATCCAACTTTAACTTTTACTGGCAATGCCACTAATAACTTTATAGCATGTTCCATCTCTGTTTTTATAATCTTTGCCACCTGGATGACATCCTCCTGGTGAACTTCATATATGAGTTCATCGTGTAACTGCAGGACTAAGAATCCTCCAGAGGGGGTGGTGACAGTGGACGGATTGTTATTACTTCGTCTTTGTGAACTTGGGTCTAAAAAGGTAAGTAATAACATTATTTTATTGCGCTAATTGTACAATTCATTTAGTTCTACAGTCGCTATCCAAAGAGCGCTATCAAGAATTATGTTTTACAGCCTCTGTGCTTAACACATTACATCTGCTGAAAGATTCCATAGACATACATGTATTCATATTACACACAGAGCCTGTGAAACCTGATTTGTCATGGAGGAGTTATACAGCCTCTGTACTTAACACATTACATCTGCTGAAAGATTCCATAGATATACATGTATTCATATTACACACAGAGCCTGTGAAACCTGATTTGTCATGGAGGAGTTATACAGCCCCTGTACTTAACACATTACACCTGCTGAAAGATTCCATAGACATACATGTATTCATATTACACACAGAGCCTGTGAAACCTGATTTGTCATGGAGGAGTTATACAGCCTCCTGTACTTAACACATTACACCTGCTGAAAGATTCCATAGATATACATGTATTCATATTAAACACAGA